ACCACGTGAGCGGTCAAGACAACCCAGCGGATTGTGCATCTCGTGGTTTAACTCCAGGTGAACTTGTATCGTTTGATTTGTGGTTTAACGGACCGCAGTGGTTATGCAAGGATGAAGAATTTTGGAATGCTGAACCCTACGATCCAGTCGACGATGAAAACCTTTTGGAAGTGCGGAAACTCAAGGTACTGCATACCAATCCGAAAGCTACTCGAGACAACTACGACGTCGAGCGGGAATTGATTGAACGGCGATCAAGCTTCAATTTGGTTGTTCGAACACTTGCGTATGTAAATAGATTTGTGCAAGCTACCAAGGGAATGGAATGTGAACCTACGCTGACACCCGACGAACTGTATGCGGCTAAGGCGCAGATAGCTAGAACTGCACAATTCGATGTGTACAAGCAGGAAATGGAATTACTCGCAAAGGAAAAGGAGTTGCCGGCCAAGAACAGATTGTCAGCACTACACCCTTTCCTGGACAATACTGGAACGATGCGCGTGGGAGGCCGTCTTCAGAATTCTCCCTACTCATTCGATGTGAAACATCCGATCATTCTCCCACGTGACCATCGAGTAACGGAACTTCTTCTGAGAGAACTTCATCTGCAAAATCTCCATGCGGGGCCCACTCTGCTTACAGCTACAGTAAATCAGCAGTACTGGGTGATCGGACTACAGGCAGCAGTACGACGAACAGTTCAAAGCTGTATTCGATGCGTAAGAATGAAGGGACACACGGCCAATCAGCTCATGGGCAGCCTGCCTGTGCCTCGTGTAATGGCAACCCGCGCATTTACCCACGTTGGCGTTGACTACGCCGGCCCATTCAAGATTCATGCGCTGTGCGTTAGAGGAGTCAAAGTCACAAAAGGTTATTTGGCGGTTTTTGTGTGCATGTCGACTAAGGCTGTACACTTGGAGGTTGCCAGTGATCTCTCAAGCAATGTGTTCATCGCCGCGCTTAAGCGATTCATCGCTAGACGCGGATATCCAAACGAAATCTGGTCCGATAATGGGACAAATTTCGTGGGTACCGACCGTTGGCTGCACGAATTGCAACGTACTCTGGAGAATAACAGTAAGACAGCAGGACATTTCCTCTCTAATCTGGGCATCAAATGGGTTTTCAACCCTCCGTCCTCTCCGCATCGAGGCGGAATATGGGAAGCAGGTGTTAAAAGCGTCAAGAAGCACCTCTTGGCAGTACTTGGTTCGGAAGCACTCACCTACGAAGAACTTGCAACGATTTTGGCTCAAGTCGAAGCATGCCTAAACTCAAGACCCCTCTGTCCACTATCGAGCAATCCTGATAGTTACGAAGCTTTGACACCCGGTCATTTTTTGATTGGTCAACCGTTGAATCTCATTCCGGAACCTGATGTGCAGCATATCCCATCCAACCGCCTGGATAAATGGCAGCTTGTGCAGAAATACTCCGACGAAGTTTGGAAGCGATGGCGGGACGAATATGTGGCTACGCTGCAACCGCGTACTAAATGGCGAGTTACGGAAACGAATGTTAAAGAGGATCAACTGGTGTTGGTGAAAAATGAGAACGCTCCGCCGGCTCAATGGGAGTTGGCACGCATCGTTAAGCTTCATCCAGATGCAGCTGGAATCGTTCGGACTGTTACCTTGCGGCGTGGTCAAGCTGAGTACCAGCGCCCGGTACAGAAGGTCTGTATTTTGACATCGGTTTGCGGCACGTGGCCTCAAGGCGGGGGAGGATGTTCCGGTGCGAGAGCCCCCAATTCTAATCGTACACCACATCCGCATCTACCTTGCACCCATCTGTCAGTGCAGAAGCGATTCGCACATGTTTTTTCCTTCCAAAAACATAACATGTAAAACCATCGAACTGTAAACAACAAAAAACAGAGAAAATTAAAAAGTTGAATTAGCAAAGTGACATCGTCGGTTTTTTTTCCTTGTCTCCGTGTTCGTCGGAATTCGGTTTTGTACAAAAACAAACACCAGCGTTGGAAAAGTTCGCGATATTTCACGAAGTTCGCCAAGGGAAAAATTCACGCGTCATAGTGAGTTTTCGCGAACTTTTCCATCACTGACAAACACAGTGTAGTACTAGAATTTCGACTAGAATGGGGTACGTTAAACGATTTGCTTGGGACCAATAGGCTAGTCAAATAGTGAGCCATTTTAAAATCGTTAGTTTCCACCCGTTGGTACCCACGCGAATCTCGCTACCGCGGTTAACGTAATTTATTCGCAACCGCGCCAGTTTGGAGGGACCTTAAAACGCTTATATTAGTGAAACTGCTCATTAATACCAACCGGTGGAAACTAACGATTTTAAATTGGCTCACTATTAGACTAGCCTATTGGTCCCAAGCAAACGATTAACGTACCCTATTCTAGTCGAAATTCTAGTACTACACTATGTTTGTTTTTTGATTCGCTATGAAAGTTTGACAGATAAAATGAGGGATTCGTGGATTTTCCAATGTTTGGAGGGGTGAATCGATTAGCTCGGGACCGAAGATAGTATCAGAGCTAAGCCAAAAAGTTGAGCACGTTTCTTCGGGATCTTCTGGTCTTAGAGTTACCTCTATGGTGATACCAGTTACATTAGAGATTATAAAATATATGTACCATGGGTGCCAAACAGTGCCAATGAGTGTGCCCAGGTGTTCCCATACACTGATAGGCAAAATAAAGTGCCCACCCCATCATTTTTGAAATTTCTCTCATTTATTTGGTTCAAATTCAAATAAACACACCGTAGTCTGTTTCGATGTCTTACCTTTATTATTCTTTTAAAGTTACACCTATGGAATACTGAAAATATAAAGTTTTACTTGAAGTAAAAGAAAATCAATTTGGATTGAAAAAGAAAACAGTGACAAAAAAAAGTGCCCACTTCAAAAATCGGTATGTTTTCGATAAGTTTCCATCGGAAAACCCCTCGATTGTTTTTGTTTTGAAAGTTTGACATGTATTGAAGCAAACGGGTGGAACTGGTGCATTTGTACACGTGATCGCATTTGAATCAGTTGAAAAAAATGGAGGACGTAGTGATTTCGAAAGCAATTCCCGTGTGTATCCGAAAATTGGTTGTTCGTGATGTGCAAAACGGTGAATCGCACCGGTCTGTCGCTAGGAAGTACAATATCAGCAAAACAGCGGTCGGGAAAATTCTGCAGAAAATGAAATCGTTCGGATCAGTGGTGGATCGCCCTGGCAGAGGCAGGATGCGCAAAACGGATGCGAGAACGGACACCAAGATCATGCGTGAAGTGAAGAAGAACCCGAAGGTAACTGTCCGCGAGATCCAGGAGGCTCTTCAGCTAACAGTTTCCAGTCGAACTGTTCGTCGCCGTCTCGTAGCACAGGGGTTGAACAGCAAAGTTGCTCGGAAGCGCCCATTTATCAGCAAGGCAAACAAAGTCAAACGGCTTAAGTTTGCTAAGGAGCATGCTGATAAGCCCCTAGAGTTCTGGAAAACGGTTCTCTGGACGGACGAATCAAAATTCGAACTGTTCAACCGGAAGCGACGGGTTCGTGTGTGGTGTAGATCGGGTGAGGAGCTTCAGGAGCGCCACATACAAGGCACGGTGAAGCATGGAGGAGGAAATGTGATGGTCTGGGGGTGCTTTTCGTGGGGTGGAGTGGGAAGCCTGGTGAAAATCGACGGGATAATGACGGCAGATTCCTACATCGACATCCTGCGGGAAAATCTGGAAGTTTCGCTGATCCAGACGGGCCTTGAGGAGAAATTCGTATTCCAGCAGGACAACGATCCGAAGCATACTGCCAAGAAGACTAAGTCTTTCTTCCGGTCATGTCGAATTAAACCACTGGAATGGCCTCCACAAAGCCCGGACCTCAACCCCATCGAGAATTTGTGGGCGATTCTCGATGCCAGGGTTGACAAAACTGGTGTTACCAATAAAAATAACTATTTTGAAGCCCTGGAGCGCGCCTGGGAAGAACTAGATCCACAGCACCTGAAGAATCTAGTGGAGAGCATGCCGAAGCGCCTGCAGCTGGTCCTGAAGGCCAAAGGAGGACACATTAACTATTAGGCTGGTATTCTTTTACTTTATTTTATGTTTTCTGGAGTTAAAATGCAGTGGGCACTTTTTTTTGTCACTGTTCTTTTTTACACCCATTTTGATTTTTTTTTCTTCGAGTCAGTCTCTTCTTTTTATCTGGTATTCTATAAGTGAAACTTAAAAAGAATATAAAGAATAAGATATAAAAAATACTACAGTGTATTTACTTTAATTTGAACCAAATAAATGAGAGAAATTCAAAAAATGATGGGGTGGGCACTTTATTTTGCCTATCAGTGTATGTGTTTTTGGCACACTATGCTGAGTGACCAACCCCTTGGAGTAAATCCAAGATCTTCTACTCAGTAAGCAAAAGCGGCAGCCACCAAGCTAGCCGAGCTCCTCAATAATTTTAGGACCATATTTGGTAATGTTTTTACAAATACTGATTGAAATATAATGTAAACAAATAAAAAGGAAGAGTCTCACCCGAATGATTTGTAATTAGTCCGCCTTCTCGTGTTTCCTAAGCTGGATCAAAATGCCTCTCCCAAATGCAGCACCATTTCTATAATCCAAAAAGTCCTGGTTACGTGTGATCCCAAATCCCAACTGCTTGACGGTGATGAATTTGAAATGGTCCGGCCTTTGATAGAGCTTGTTTGAATGGCTTCCTCCCTTCGCTTGGAATTAACGACAAACGACAAACGCAGTGCACGGATCTTCCTTCTCTTCTATTTTCTTCGTATCCTACAGTGTCAGCACTTGCCAAATTCAATTCAATCAAAAGTGTAGAATTAAACATTTAGAAAATAATTAAAATTTATTAAAGTCACAAAAGAAAAACTGCAGCAAAACCAAAACACGTCAGTTTTTCAGCGCGGCCTACTTTTTTGTTTTTTCGTGGTGCATTTTCCGCTCTACCAATGTTCTCAGTGATTTCAATTAGCTAACGATTAGCACCTTCTTTCGTCCTTTCCAGGTTGGTTTGTTAAAGGAGAAATACGATCATCGTTTGCTACTCAAGCACTTGCCTTCAGATTTCAAGTACTTCTTAGATCACATTCAATCGCTTAACTATGCTGACAAGCCGGACTATGCCGTAAGTTCCAGTGTTGTGAGTATCCCTCAAAGAATGTTAGTAATGTTCGATTCCCCCACGAAAAAAAAAAAATACAGATGCTAGTGACCCTGTTCGAGCGCTGCATGAAGCGACGTGGCGTGAAGGAAACCGATCCATTCGATTGGGAAAAGACGGAGGAAAACAACGCCGACCATGCCGGGGAAGCCAAAGGATCAAACGCAGCCGTACCAAAGAGTGAACTAATTAAGAAACATAAGGATATCGATCTGACGGAGGTGAGTCGGGGGGATTTGTGTGTTTGCTTGGAATCCAGTCCAGTACAGCAAAACCTGGTTCTTCGTTTCAGAAACGCAAAGCGATTCAGGACTCGGTCAAGGTCATGCACACGGAACCGATCGAGTCGATGAAGCCGCAACATGCCAACAACGCTAGCAACAATGTCAACGCTAATGCAAAGCTTCCGAACGCTGCTTCGGTGACCGGTTCCGGTGCCGGAGGCCAACAGCAGAACAACAACAACAACGTCCAGAACGAAAAGTACGGCGTAGATCCGTTGGACCCACGGCTTCGTCAGGCATTTAAGGATGCCCTGATTGCCAGCCAGGAGGGCACCAAGGTGAAGGTGAGTCAATCGGAACTATCTCGTGCTTTGAACGATGCTGATGTCGGTATTTGTTTTTTTTTTTCAGCCGGAAATTCCACTGGTCCGGGCCCACACGGACGTGAACAAACCGTCGAAGCACGGCGGCAATCGGTTACGGATCCTGACGGCTCCGCCGGTCAACATAAAAGACTTTGCCTCCTCGATCGACAGTCTCCATCAGCAGCACTCGCAGGCAAATGAGACCACCAATTTTTCGGAGGCAAAATCGAAACTAAAGGCCGAAGCGGACGAGGTCAGCTGCACTCCCGGTGATGGTCAACTGACAAGTGGAATCGGTGGAACCAACGGGCAGCAAAGTGGTGGCGACGGTGGTCAACCGAACTCGCTCACCCAGCGGCAATCGTTGCATTTGGGAGGCAAGAGCCTGAGGTCGTTTGCGACTCAATCGGCCAAGTATCGCAGCCTGGCGGACGACAAGAGCTGTCGGGACTTTTCCATCACCCAGCATGCCATCATCGATGACGACAACGCTAGTCAGCACCAGACGCCCAAGTATCAGGGAGCTCTGACATTGGCCTCGCAGTGGAAGAGCCAGTTTGATGATTCGGACGATTCGACCGATGGACTGTGGAAGGGCGACCAACATTCCGAAAACGCATCAAAGAAGAATATCCAGCTAGTAGAGCAGAAGCAGCAAGATCAGCAAAAGCAGCAACACAAGCAAAACAACAACACATCGACGAGTGCTATTGTTAATAATGGAACTACTAATATTACTACTACCACTACAACTACCACTACAAACAACCCAGCAGTAGCAGCCGCAGCAGCAGTAGCAGACCTTGCAAATAATCTCAATTCTTAATTTATTGGTGAAATTATAAAATAAAGAGAGGTAAAAGCGTATAAAGCAGTATAGAATAACCGGTGAGTACAGTTTTCCACTTTCCATATCACAATCCTTGCTAAGGGTGTTGGGACTTTCTTTCGCTCGGAGGGCAAAAAAAAATCAACTCTCTCCTAATATCTGTAATGTCACTTATATAATTTGTCATGTTTCAAATATTTGTTACTCGTCTGTTGCTCGTTTCAAATCTTTCAAAATGTGTGTATTAAATGCCATTTTTGTTGTTGTTGAAATTCGTTTACCTTCTTCTCTTCATTTCTTTATGTTTTGTTTGTTTGTTTGTTTGTTGGTGCAATAATTGTCTATTACTGTTCCTCCGGGTAGTGAATTTGTCCGAGATCTCGACAGAGGTTGTTGTTCGTGAATGCCGTATTGTAGTTGAACGATCCGTAGCCAGGTGCGTATTGGGTGTAAGCCGTCGGGAAGATCAGTTCCGGGTTCGCCGCTGGAATGAGAGGGATTTTTAGTGTTACAATGATTCAATGTTATTGCATTGTTATTCAATCTGTATGCATGTCCCTGCGCTTTGATCAGAGGCACATTTAGAGTATGAGAGGGTGATTGCAGTTTACTCAAAAGTGACTAAGCAAAATGCAAGAACTTTCGATTATTACCCTTAGGCGAATTGCTGTGACATCCTTATTCTCGGAACCACTTCGAAACTTTAAGTGCACAAATATCAGCTTTCACGACACGTGTTACAATTAAATTGGTACTCCACGTTTACTGCACTGCAGCATACATGAAGTAGCAATTTCAGGTGAAATTGGGCACTGATTTCCGAGATTTGTTTTATTGAAAATTCGAAGTGGAAGTGCATGTATAGCCCACGTAGCGGCCATTTGTGGACTCTACAAGGAATCACCTTAAGGCCCAAGCACAATGAAAGCGGCAGCGGAAAAGCCCGATCTGAGTAAGCCTACTTGTCGGATTGAAAACTAGTTAGGAACAAATCGGCTTCGGTTAGGCATCTTGATGTCATTTGTGACTACTGTCAAATTTTCAGTTTCCGTTCCGCTTCCGGCCACATTGCGTTTGGGCCATTAGGTACGATAGTGAAGACAACCGGTGGAAACTAACGATTTTAAATTGGCTCACTACTTGACTAGCCTATTGATCCCAAGTGCATCTATAAGCGTACCCCATTCTAGTCGAAATTCTAGTACTACACTATGTTTGTTTTGATTCGCTATGAAAGTTTGACAGATAAAATGAGGGGTTCGTGGAATTTCCTATATGTTGAGGGGTGCATCGATTAGCTTGGGACCGAAGAGAGTACCAGAGCTGAGCCCAAAAGTTAGGCACGTTTCTTCGGGACCTTCTGGTCTTAGAATTCCCTCTATGGTGAAGATGTATATCCAAAATCACTACAAAAGAATATTGTATTATACACTCAATTCTGTTTCTAAGCGATTTTCTTTTTCTTGGTTCAGTCCTCATGTAGGATAGGTACAGCATTTTAATACCATCAATCAAATAATAATATTTGAGATTGAACCCCGGAATCGAACGGCTTAGAGAACTGGACGACCTGGAAATTTGCTGTCCACACATAACTCGAAGTCGCAGATCTTTGCGATGCAGTTGAGCCGCCGCAGAAAGACGTTGGTACTCTTGAACCCGTCGTTCCAGTAAAAGACCGACAGGCCAGAGGGAAAATTATTCTATTCCTGGAGCCGGAGAATTTCTACCCTGTTCGGGAAGCAGCTACAGTTCGGGGAGTAATGCAAACTAATTTGAGAATTGCGAAACTATGGAGCATTACGCCAACAGGATGATTACATTATGCCATCAGCTAACAGCAAAGTTTTTAATGGAGTATCTCGGATTGGCCAACAAAGTCCTTGGAATTTGAGTGATGAGGCGGAAAGACAATGTATGTTAGGATCAGGAACAATATATTGATTTGCTACTAGAACGATTTGGTATGGAGGACTGTGATCCAGTAGCAACCTCGGCGGATCACAACCAGAAGCTGACTAAACAGATGAGTCCAAGCACTAAGGATGAATGGGAGCAAATGCAGAGAGTTCCATTTCGAGAGTTGGTAGGAAGTTTACAGTTCCTAGCGCAATGCACGCGCCCGGAGATTAGTTTTGCCCTTAATGCAGTCAGCCATTTTTACGTTTTTATGAAGTCAGGGTGACCAATTTCATGGAATTGCCGAAGACAATTCACAGTAGCCTTGTCAACAACGGAAGCAGAATATATGGCAGTATCTGCAGCAGTACAGGAAGCTATCTGGTGACGAGGACTACGACAGCAGTTATCCGGCGTTTCTGAGAAGGTCACGATCTTTTGTGACAATAAGAGTGCGATGCATCTAGCTGAAAGAGAAGTTGGTTACTCACTACGCAGCAAGCATATCGATATTCGTCATCACTTCGTTCGTAAGAAAATTGAGGAGAACGTGATTCGGTTTGCAGCATGTGGCCAGTCAACGGATTTTCTTATCAAGCCAATTCCGGCTCACAAATTCGAAACTCGGTTAAGGGGGATGTTGGCGTAGAAATCATCGAATTAAGATGTCTATCCGTGTAGTTCATCTTTCACACTACTATCAACCAGACGTGTTTCATCAATTGTCCTATTAAGAACAATTGTAGAAAGAACACGTTCCATGTTGTTTGAAGCAAAGTTATTGGAAACTTTCTGAGCGGAAGCAGTAGCTGTGGCCGTGTATTAATTCAACCGGTCCCCTACTCGTGGTCACAATCTAACACCAGAAGAGGTATGAGACGAATGCAATGTTACAAGTACCGAAACCAAAGCGAAGAAAGTGGGATCCGAAGTCGAGAGAATGTGTGCTGACCGGATTTGAAGAGGATACGAAAGGCTACCGGTTGTTTGATTCTGTATTGGTGAAGGTTCAGAAGCTCGTTCTATGGCATCCCAGAAGAAACCAGTGGTTGTTCCAGTGGACTTCGATGATATTTCTTCTCCAGTGCAACCAAGCGAACCCATAGATGATGAGACGTCCGATAATCCACTGACATCACAGGTGTTGAGGCGCAGCGGTAGGGAGCACAAATTCACCGGCAAGTATAAAGATTGTTCGATTCAGTGCAATCAAAATCTTCACAGACTTCTGCAGAAAGCTCGTGCGACTTCGAAGGCTTTGACGATTCTGAAGGCAGCCTACAGTCTGGTTTCAGTGGAGTTGTTGCCGTTCCGAATCAAGACCAGGGTGTTACTTGTGATGAACCGAGATCGTTTGCTGAAGCGATGGCATCTCCGTATGCGGAACAGTGGAAGAGAGCGATGTCCTATGAACAAGCAGAACGATACCTGGACGTTAGTGGACCTCCCACCAAGACGAAAAGCAGTTGGCAGTAAGTGGGTGTTCAAGGTCAAGCGTTGCGCAGAAGGAGAGATTCAGCTTGTTTGGTACGGGAGCGATTACGATGAGGTGTTCGCTCAAGTGGTACGCCAAACTACCTTCCGGACGTTGATGGCGATAGCTGCGAAGAAATTCATGGATGTTAAGCAGTATGACGTCAAGATCGCGTTCCTCTACGGCGATCTTGAGGAGCAAATCTTAATGGATTCGAAGCCAAGGGTAATGAGCAGAAAGTGTGCAAGCTGAAAAGACTGTATGATCTAAAGCAAGCATGCCCCGTAACGTGGGTAGATCACCTTTCCGTGGTACGTTACGGGATGTAAGATCTACCACCGATTCCTAGTATTTACTACTTCAAACTAGCGGAACAGGATTTTTCAGTAATCAAAAGAACACATCTTAGTCCTTGTTACTTTTTATGCCTTGTTGATAGTGATAAGTCCTCGGGTTGCCTGGACCGAGGATGATCTTGAAACAAGGAAAAAATGAGCTAGTTAGTCTTCATCTATGTGATTCCTAATCTTCTATTCGTTGTTCCCTAGTTTGAAGTGATTAAGACTAGGGTTCTGATGCATGGTCACTATCGGTGTCATTCCTTAATTTTGTTGCTAAGCAATCCAATTTTAACTGACGAAGGGGGGCGCCTTTGGAGGGTGTTCCAACACTCCGAAGGGTATAAATAGCGGGACCTTTCCTTGCGATGAAGGCAAGAATGACAACTGTATCAAAACCGAATACTTCATCATTTCTCAATAGTGATGAAGTAATACGACATGCACTAAACTAAGGACACGGGATATACTACAATAGATCAAATTACTGGTCGCAGTAGGTTTATGTCCCGAACAGAGGAAAAAATAAAAGCAAGCATCCAGGGTGTGGAATCAGAAGCTGCATGACGAGCTTGAACGGGCTAGTTTCGAGAGGTGCAAGTCGGATCCGTGCTTGTATAGGAAGATGAGGAGCGGTCACTGGTGCTACGTTCTAGTCTACGACGATGATCTGATTGTAGCAAGCGAGGATCGACAACTGGCTGAAACGCTGATTTGTTCCCTGAAGAAGTCTTTCGAAATTAGCGAGCTCGGAGCACTTCACTACTACCTGGACATGGAGGTTGAAAGGTGGTTTCTTCTTGAATCAGCGGAATTTCATCAACGAGGTCGTGGAGGCGAGTGGTCTGGCAGAAGGAAAGGTGTCCAGTATTCCGCTTGATCCAGGATACGGCAAGAAAGAGGATGTTAGTGAACCGTTGCCAATGAACAAGGAATATCAGAAGTTGATTGGCTAAGTTCTCTACGTTACTGTGAAAACGCGACCGGATATTTCGACTGCGAATGCTGAGCAGAAAAACAAGTTGTCCAACACAGGACGATTGACAAGCGCTGATATGTGTGGTGCGGTATCTGAAAGGAACTGTTTATTACCGGTTACTACTAAGCAGGAACGAAGAAGAGTATGGGATTGTTGGCTAGTCGGACGTGGATTGGGCGGAGAATTGTGCTGACAGAAAATCTAACAGGGGATTTATCTTCAAAGTCAGCGACGGAATCGTAAGATGGGCTTTTGGAAACAATCTAGTGTTTACCTATCGTCTCCAGAGGCAAAATTGACCGCCCTATCTGAAGCGGTTCAGGAGGCGTTGTGGTTAAAGTTACTTCTACAGGACCTAAACGACAAGAAAGCAGTTACAATGAAGATTATCAAAGTTTGCCTGAAGATGCTCGTGTCCGAGAAGTTCAGCAACAGAACGTGCGGATTTATTTGCTTTTTGTTAAAGGAAGCGTTACTGCTACCTGTAAATTTTCCTACCCTACCCGAGGTAATCCTGCTTGGATATTGATGTGGGAAATTCCTCTTCGATCCTTCGGATTTCTTGGCAGGAATGGAGCAAAGTAAAATAGCGTCTAGTCCGTTAGAATAACGACAAAAGAAGAACGAATTCGACAGTGAGCATGCATAAGGGCCTATACGCGATGATCGATTCTCTTCATCGATTTTCTCTTTGCATTGATACAGCTAAGCGAAACAATTTTGTAGAATTTATTCAATGTAGAGTTGTAACAGGTTGCATTGGCTATCAAAAGCAACAGCAAACGCACCGACAAACGTTAAATCTAGCGAGTTATTAACAAAAGAGAAAATCGATTAAGAGAATCGATCAACGCGTATACGCCCTTATGAATGCTCACTGTCGAATTTTATTCAAATAACTCATGGCTATCTTAGAACAAAATTATTTCTCCACTGTAGTTCTTCACGTTGCTAAATGCACCGCTTCACTACTCCTCAACGTCGAAGAACTTCAGACCCATCATGGTACGGAACTTCTCCAGTTTAACTCTCGCCAAAGGCTTCGTGAGTATGTCTGCGGCCATTGATTCCGTTGGACAGTACCTGACTTCCATCACGCCAGTCGACATCAGTTCTCGCACAAAGTTAAACCGTGTATGGATGTGTTTGGTTCGTCGGCTCCCTCTTTCGGATGACAGCATGGCGATGCAGCTCTGGTTGTCCTCGTGCATCACCACTGGCCCATCGACGACCTCGCCCATGTCCTCCGTTAGCTTCAACAGCCAGAGTAGCTCCTGACTAGACTCGGATAGCGCAACGTACTCAGCTTCTGTAGACGACAGACTGACACATTGCTGTTTTCAGCGGCCAGCTGACTGGACCACCTCCGAGCTCAAAAACGAACCCGGAATTTGATTTTCGATCCGTTTTGTCACCAGCCCAGTCTGCATCCACAAATCCTTCGAGACCGCCGGTTCCGCCAAGCTCAAGCTTCAAGTCAGCTGTTGCGTTGAGGTACCGTAAGCAATCGCAGTATCGGGTCTGGTGCACACCGCAACGTACAGCAAAGCACCAACCAGACTCTGGTAACGCTCGCCGGATGGCATACACTCCTCCTCCTTTTGCTTCACGTTTGGATACCCAGGATCCGTGGATATTTTCGATGGCTTCGCTTGGCCCATGTCAAACCATTCAGGAATCTTCCGTTTGCAACAAGAAACTGCCGGAACACGTTTGCTCCACCTGTATGCCGAGGTAGTTGGTGACATCCCACAGGCACGAGAGCCTGAATTGTATTCGTTGTTGTCGGGACTCACAATCAACATATCGTAGAGGCCTTGGATTGCTTGTGCCGAAGCTGCTTTAACGTTTCCGTGATTTTTTGGTTCCAGATACGACCCGCTTGCTTCAGCCCGTATATACTACGCTTCAACAAACACACCTCGTCCTCAGATCCTACTTGATAGCCCATTGGTTGCTTCATGTAAATGGTCTCGGTGAGGTCTCCGTGCAGGTATGCTGACTTCACATCGATGTGCTTGACTTGCATGGATCGACGAGCGGCAATTGTCAACAGCGTTCGAAGCGTGTTTTGTTTGGCTACTGGAGCAAAAACCTCGCCGTAGTCGGTGCCGAACTTCTGACTGTAGCCCTGTGCTACGAGTCGTGCTTTATAGCGGATCACTTGGCCAGACTCATCAAGCTTGTTCTTGAAGATCCATTTGCATCCGACTAGTTTTTGTTTCGATGGCAGCTTCACGATCCCATGTCGAGTTTTCTTGAAGTATTGCGAATTCCTCATCCATTGCCTTCTTCCACTCGTGGCGTTCCTGGCTACGTATAGCTTCATCATAGGTACGGGGTTCATCATGTTGATTGCACACTAGCAATGATACCGCAACGCTAACACACCTTTGTTTTTACGGCTACCGATCAGAGAGCCCTTTGAAATCGTCATCATCGGACTCCGAAAGCTCCAACTCGAATTTATCGGCTGTAACAACGGGTTTCTCATCATCCTCAACGGAAATAGGTTTGAAAGGATAAAACACGGTTTCCCGAACCTCATCTGCTGGAATGAACCTGGCATCTCGAGATACGACGAGCTTGTTCGTCGCTAGAGCCAGGAAACGGTAGCCCTTGTGCTGCTGCGAATAACCGACGAAGGTCATTTTCGTCGACTTTGGGTCCAATTTCGTACGCTTCTCTTTTGGGACCCACACGAAGGCTTGTGATCCGAACAATCGAAGATGGGTGCCGTCTGGTTTCTCTCCACAGTCCACAGTTCGGATGACGTTTCCGGCAAACGGTTCTGGAGGTAACACGCTGTGTTTACTGCTTCGGCCCAGTGTTGCTTTGGCATTCTGGCATCCTATCTCAACTAACGAACGATTTTTCCTTTCAGCTACTCCGTTCTGCTGGGGCGTGTGGCTGGTACTAAACAGCTTCCGAATGCCCTCTTGACGAAAAACAAAATATCTAGTTGCTGATTTTTGAACGCACCACCTTGCTCCGATCGAATTACTTCCGATGGCCTGTCGAACGTTGTCTTCATCTCCTGCACATATTGCTTGATGTAATCAACTGCTTGCGACTTTTTCTTCAAAAAATACACCAGCGAGTACCGCGTGAAGTCATCGGTAATCGCCATGAAGTACCGACAACCACCTGGCGTTGGTGTGTTCACCGGTCCGCATAGATCCGTGTGCACGAGGTCGAGTGCTTGCTTCGTTTTCTTCTTGGATTGCTTGGGGAAAGGGAGCCGGGCAAAGTTGCCCTCCAAACAACACTCACACACAGCTTTAACACCGCAGCTCACTATCTTGATCCCGGTAGCCAGATTCTTCGATCCCAACTCGGCGACTGCTTCTGGGTCTCTGTGGCCAACCAGGGTCACGCGTGCTGACAATGTTCCGAGTGACTATTGCCGTTGGCCATATGCGCTTCGTGGGTGATCCGAAGGTTGTACAAACAGCCAGATACCGAGCCAAGAGCTATAACCTGTGGTGCCGTTCTGCGTTGCAGATCGTACAGAGAAAACAGCTTCGATTCAAGATTAGGGACAAACAGCGCATCATTGAGGGTCATGCTGTTGATATTTCCTTCTTCACCAACGCACTGAATACGACACATACCTTTTCCAGTCGATTTGGTCTTCTTTACATTCTTCGGAGACGGACTCGTCAAGTGACTCGAAAAACTCCTTGTTGGCTGCAATGTTTGACGTTGCGCCAGAATCAACCACCCACAGGTTGACGTCACTGCCTATGGTTGCCATGAAAGTATACTCGTCGGAACCGCTTCGAACTACCTTCGCCTTCGTAGGTCTGCTGGCTTGCTTCGAGTCATGTTTCTTTGGTGGTTCTGCATCCTTGCTCTGGGACAGCAAACGACAATCCTTCTGCTTGTGGCCAACTTTATGGCAATGGTGGCAAACGATATGCCTTTTCGTACCTGCCTTCAGTACCGAATGTGCACCACCGGCAAAATTACGCTTCGCTGCCTCGTCCACCAGCTTCGTCTTGATTAGGGTCGTTGTAAGCGAATTGAAAGAATCCGGCATGCTTCGAAGGACCATCGCAAGTTGCAAATTAGCATCCAGCACCTGGCCTGCTATCGACAGCCGTTCGAATAGATCTTGCATCTCGGTGATGTGCTTGTCGATTTCCTCCCCATCGCATGTCGCAAAGTTTCTTGAGGATGGATACCTTCGGTGTGAGCGTCGTACGCTCGTTGTTCCTTTCAAAGTTCTCCCACGCTTCCGTACTGTAGTTGCTTCCGTTTAGCCGTGGGACACCCAATTTCTCGATTGTGGTCATCTCCGGCTCTGAAAAAACGACGGAACACTCCCAAACGCGACGAACTTACGCACGGCGGGAAAAAAAATCACTCTGTTTATCGGTTGCTATGGTAGCTTGCCTGGGCCCATAACCTCTTGGGAGGAATGGAGCAACGTAAAATAGCGTCTAGTCCGTTGGAGCGACGACAAAAGAAGAACGAATTTTATTGAAATAACGTAGACCTATATTATTTCTATACTCTAGCTCTTCATGTTGCTAAATGCACCGCTTCAGGATTCTTATAGTAAACTGTTTGGAAGTCGCCATGGCGCCACCACGCAAATGAAAAGGGCAATCTCTTGATCCCCCTTCTGATGAAATTTATTTGAGCAATCAATTTGATATACTCACGAATGATGAGAATGATCCATCATTCAGACAAAATTCCATTGAACACTCCCGGCTTAATGCCAAGAAAGAAAAGGTCCCCGCTATTGTGATAATCACTGTCGATTTCCCTGCTCTTCGCATGGAACTTTTGAAATTCGTTAAATTCAAGTTTTCACTTCGAGTTGGCTGTCGGGTGAATGCCGTGTATTGGCTGAAACCTTGGGACGGATTCAAACGTCTTCCCAAGTATCTTACGATCTGCCCACAGGTGAATCCCTCGATCAGATCAAAGATGAAATAAATCTCATTTCCTGAAAACGCCTTCCCCCAAGACGAAAATCCCCCGCCCCACTCACCTGCAAATTGATCCGTGTTCTGCAGGAAGGCCGAATAGTTGGACGAGCAGGCAATGTGCGGATTGAGGACGGCCGTCTCCGGGCCCGGTTCGCCGGTGCTGTAGCTGGCCGTCTCGTAGCTCGTCGTCGGGAAGCTCTGGTTTTGGTTTTGGGAAATGTTGTTATTCATATCGCTGAGGAATTCGATGGACTGCGCCAACGGAGAGGCCTCCGTTCTCTTGATACCGACGGCCACCGCCGCTGCGGCAGCGGCTGCCGCCGACGAGGCTATCATTTCGCTGGTTAGGATCTTGTCGTATCCGCCGGGGACTTTGGTGAGTTCGGATGGGTGTGGCTGGTGTTGTTGTTGTTGCTGCTGCTGCTGCTGCTTTCGGCCGGAAGTGTCGTCCTCTATGATTACCCCCACCGAGAGGGCGTCCTCTGCTCGATGGTATTTGTGCGGTTTTTCACCTGAAAATTTAGTGGTTTGGTAACGTTGTTATACTTGAATGAAAAGCAGCCAGCAAACCTCTGATGGAGAAGCTCGATTGATTGTCGGAATTGTCCTCGCTGGACATTGCCATCGAATTGACAAAGTCCACCCCGCCGACGAAGAGATCGTTGCTTTTGTCCTGGTCGTGTGGTTTCATACCTTCATAGTCCGATATATCTTTGGTGTCCTGGAAAAAAAATCGATCAATTAGTGGGGATATTTCGAGGAGAAATCAAGAAAATTGGTCAAAATTACTGATTGATGCCATCCGTGCGGATTCAATACCTTATCACGTTTAATGCTACCCAAGAGACCGCTTCGTAAATCTGCGGGAGATATTAAGAGACATTTTAATCATCCAGCAAATCGCAGCAAGCAAAGAAAACTGACCAGGATCCTCTTTGATTTTGCGCCGTTTCGAGCTGGTACCCGAAAGAGATTTCTGTGACAATCCAAGCAACCCGTTGATAGAGTACGACGCCGACGCACCGACACTGTCGACCTGCTGCGGTTGTGAGCTTTTCATCATGCCTTCCGAGTCGGACATCGATTGGTTCATGCATTCCTGTGCCGACTGCGATTGTTGAGTTTGCGGTGGTTGGCTCTGTCCCGGTTGCTGTTGGTTACCACTACTCTGGCGGGGTGCTACCCGTGGGCCACTGTCCTGCATGCTGGTATCCATGCGGGAGCTGTATTTGGCCTTTTCGGCCGCTTTGTTTCGAACGATTCTACGAATGATGAGAGGAAAGTTTAGTTTCGATGAAGGAATGGTAAAATACGAAGCGTTCCCGAACCTGTTTATCGACGAGACGCTGGGAACGTTATCGTGAACACAAACGCCATCCGCGAGCAGCTTGTCGCGGATTTCCCAAGCGAACATGGTTGGATTCTGCAGCTTGTAGGCGGCGATTGCGTCCACAACCGGAGGCGTGGCCACCTTCGGTTTCGACCCCCCGATGACGCCAGCCTTGAAGCTTCCCGTTTCGTAGTATCTGGAATAGCTTTTTGAGGTTATGTCAGTTACTTATCCCCGTTGGCAAATGAACTAACCTCGAAAGAATTTTCGAAACGCATCCATGGCTGACGCGCAGTTGACGGGAAATGTCACATGGGCGGATGCCGTTGTGGGCAAGCTCGACGATTCGCTGCCTCACCAGGTCCGGCAGGGGGCGTCCATTTACGAATACCCCACCCAACTGGTTGACTCCACCATGACCTATTGGTGGAAATTCCAAGAAAAGAGGGGGGAAAAAGCGAAACCAAACAAGGGCGAAAAACCAAATCCGCCATCGCAACGGGGAAGAAAGTTTAATTAGTTCGAGTTCGACCCAGAAAAGTTTGAATAGATTATTCAGCAAATTAAATAAACAAAAGTTGAAATCGTATGTAAATGCAAGCGAACATATGGAAAATCTGATAAAACATTAGTAAATAAGCATAAATGTAACGGCTTTCCTTGTGGGAAGAAATAGAAAATTAAAGAAACACATATTCATTTATGGAAATATAGCGCCGGAGGCTAGAAAAATAAAAAAAAGTTCAAAATGTTAATCAAACGAAATGGACACAAACACAAACAAAGGCGCAATAGACAAGATGTTTGCGTTTACAAAAGAGAGCCTTTCGGGTGCCGTTCGTTCGCAAGTAAAATTATGCGACGACGGATGTGGATATAAGCAATATAAAAAATACACACTCTCGTCGACGATCATAAATTATATCGAAAAAAAAAGAAAGAAGAGGATGAAGGTAACAAGTAAAAGAAGAATCGAAAATAAAAGGGGGATTTAAACGTAGTTGGCGCGCCCGCCCGGGATCGACCCGATCGCAGTAGTCGTGGTCACAGGTTCATTTCAATTTGCTCCTACTGCACATGCACATAAAAATACGGTGCATAGGCAGGCAGGACAGGAACAGGGCACGGACCAAGGTTTTCCCCCTTGTTTTGTGACTGTAGTTTCCATGTGGTAAGATCATCAACCGACTGTAGGTATCTACTGATGGCGGTGATGATGATTGTTGCTTATTTTTTCGCTCCCCACCCACCCCCTCAACCCTACCAGTGGCGACGACGACGACGACTACGGAAGGAAGCCCAAAAAGGCCTTATGTGGTGGTGCTTTTTTAATAAAGCACATCACTTCTTCCTCTTTTGCGGTGTGCTGCGATGATGAGCAACAACAACAGCAACATCAACCGAACAATCGAAGAAGGCTGAATCCATGGAAGAAACAAAGCAACGACAATAACCTCGTCTCCTCCTCGCTGCGCTGCGACGATCCGACGATGGTTGCTTAGTAGCGTGCGCGCTCTTTGCCTACTCTGTCTCATCAAATTTGTATTCGATGGAGGAGGTATGGGGGGGTGGCGGGGGGTGGTCGGCATTCATGAATTTTACTGACTTAACAGCACACATGTAGAGCGATTATACACTTCCATACAGAGTCTAGAGAGCTTGGCTGAAGATGTGTATGTTGCGGTGTGTAATTGTACAGCGAAAGATCGGTGCAAATGATAGGATAGCCGTTTTCCTTGTTGTAGACCGGATGGCTGCTGAAGAAGGTGACGTTCGTTGCTCTGGATGAGAGTCAACATCAGCGCCTGGAGGGGGCCCCCTTCGCGATGATTCTTAGGGGTGGTCAGTAACGAAGGATTTTTGATATATTGGGTAAGGTACTTGCTGTAATGTTGTCGATTTGTTATCGAGAAAGAAAATAATCTGGGTTTAGACAGGGCAAGTCAATCGATCAAGCCAGTTGAATTCAATTGGCTTGAAAAGTTGAGCCTCACTTGAATTGAGAAAAGTTGAACCAGGCTCAACTTTTCAAGCCAATTGAATTCAACTGAGTTGATCATTTGACTTGCCTTGTCTAAACTCAGCTTTAGAGCAGCCAATTGAACTGTCAGATAAGTGCATCCAATCGAACAGAAGAACTGTCAGTGGGTAGGCAACAATTCTAATTAGATTGTAGTATTGCTATCACCCGAAAAACAATTCGGCAATCTAGGGGAAGTACCTGGTCTGAAGTAATATTTGGTGTAGCAATGGTATTAACTGTCATAAGTCAATGACATTCAAATACAAAATCATTAATCAAAATCGGCACCGTGAGGACGGCATCAGATTAAAAAAAAAAAAAGTTTGTATACAGGCAAACAGTGCTGATAAAAATCATTCCTTCTACACTCAACTTAGCTGAAAATGAAGACAACCTTAACAGATAGACCAACTACCTGCATGAATTTGAATTTTGACATAAACACATTCTCTTGATCAAGGCAACCTTTGAGTATCGAAGTCGACATTTGTTTTTGTTCGTTTGTGGCTGGATGTTTATTATCGCCTGTGCTGTTGTCAATATCAATATTCATCTTCATCTTGGTGGGGATGATTATAACAAATGCAAAATGATTATTTTCATATTACACACATATAGTGCTGTAGAACGTGTTGTGTTGATTTTTATACACATAGTGATGGAAAATTATTGCCTCGTGCTGAATTGATGATAATATCGAGGTTTTAGGCTCTGGAGTCGATAATATTCAAAATAATCATTTTGCCCAAAATGAGTTTGATTATTTTGCTTTTGAGGATCGTTTCTGATGTTGACAAATTTCGGTTGGATAATCAAGCAGTGGTGAATATCAACAAACGCGATAATCAACTCATTTGTTGGTTTCGCTCGTACTTCACAGCTAAGATATTCAAAACAAACGCAATTCATCTACACTGGGTTGAAGCACTACTCGTTGCGTGTGATGGTAAATGATGAAACCAGACACTGCAGGTAAATTCGTTGTCTATTATTTTTGGTTCTTAGATTCCAAATATTTGGTATCAATGGTAACTATTCAGGGGTTAGCAAGCATTTAAAATATGTCAAAATGAATGTCGTCACGGGGGAAGGTGGTTCTAAATTCTATATAAAACTATCTGCGTAGTTTATGGACAGACCCAAAGCAAGTGTCAGTCTATCAACCAGTTTCATATACGGGATTAGAGGAAACACTCATCTACCTGATGTGGTTTTGGCACTATTTTTCATTCCACAAGACCAGTTTTTGAGTTCTTTTAAACCTCACCCAAGTACTCACCTCACCCAAGTACCTCACCCAATTTAACAGCCTTTTGGCTTTCACTTTGATTTATTGTGGTTTTATAACGGCAATAAGCAATTTTTTTAGTTTAAATACAGAATTTAACAGTGCAAAAAATTCTTGATCAGTAGTTCAGCTTTACGCTGTTTTAAAAACCTTTTAAAGTCTAACGAAAAAATCAGAAAGAGTCTAGTTTTAAAAATAAATTTAATGCAGCACTCTATCCCTTTATAAAACTGTTCAGTAAATCAATTGGTATATGTTTTATTGATGTCACAACAAAATTCTCCATAAAGGCGTTTTATCATTACAAAAGCAATTATGAAACCGTTCGGTTTCAAACGGGGTCGAAAAGCATATATTGATGCGTTTTGGTGTCAATGAAGTGTATCACAAAACCTCCCACTGTTTACAAATAATACTAAAAAGATTGATCCGCCTAGAGACAGAGAAAAACATAATCGAGTGGGGCTTTCAAACGCAGAATCACAACGAAATGCCAAAGGATAATTGAGTAATAATTCTAGCAATGCTGTCGACGGAAGAGAAAAGGAATCCAATTCCAGAACTTTCTGGGAGGGCAGCTCCGCCAAAATCGGCCAACAACAACAGAGCAGCCGACTGGGAGGAGCGAAGTGAATGCGGTTTACGAAGCACTGGAAGCCGTCAAATTAGACGCTTAACATTGATGGGAATACACAGCATATTGTCAATGGCAGTCTTCTCCAGTAATAACGTTGCGATGATGATCCGAATAGCATCAGTGCCAAACTGGGACTGCGGAAAACTGCTGACAGGAAACTCATCCGGAAGAAGGAAAACTTTGCGGGAACGATTGAGCTTCCACCTGTTCCAAGTTATGTAGACTCACTTCCTGAGTAACTGCTTCCAATAGATTAATTGCCCTTATCAAGGATGTCACGCAACTTGTTGATCCAACGCTGGAGTAGAAAATAGTTGCATGATCGCGCAACAAAACTACTGAACTATGAACAAATTTTGACGTTTAACTTTTTCCAGGCAACTTTGCCACCATCGATGCCAGCATAAAACTAAACGGAATAGGATCAAGCAAAATTACTTCAGATAAAAACAATTCAGTCTGCAAATTATCTTCATAAATGCCGCATTAAAATGTTTTGCATTTGTTAGCGATTTGATGAAAGCAAAACAGCTTTTTCACAAATGGCTTGTGGAAAATTAATATTTATGCTATCGCCATATTATTATTATTCCATTTGCTTTTTAACAATCTTCGTTTTTCAAGATGTTTTTTCCTTTAAAATAACTTTATTCTCATCAATTCATCAATGAGCCGTAATAGAAATTACGAAAATCATTAAATTGCCTCGGCTGTGAGCAATGATTAACATAACATATAACTGTATTTTGTTTCCTAAATTAAAAACATAATTAGTCAAATCAACGTTTTCCGAAGGCAGACTTATTTTTTCGATTTTCCGAGGCACATTTCACATTAGATTTAATCTGTCACCTAAAAATAGACCACAATATGAGTTTCGATAATTTCAGTAATTCTTTAACTTTAATGATGAGAAAATTTTTGTGGATTTTTGACAGATTCATTTTTGAACAATTAATTTGGCAAGATCGGACGATATTTATGTATTCCTTTTTATCTTGATTAATGCTTTATTTTTAGCGCGCTTAGCAAGCGTCAAAGACAAATGGCACAAGTATTGGTGCTAAATGGCTTTTATTGTACTTTTAATAAGGATTTCAAATGGTTCTCAATCAAGGGGTAGGTCACTCCGCACACCAGTCTTGGGTCAACATTTTTCTCAGTGTGCTGCAAGTGTGCCGATTGTGCCAGCCATAGAGCAAGCTGCGATTTTTGTAAAATACGAATATTATTATTATATTTGTTCTCCGACGGATGATACTCAGGCGGTGACAAATTCGGTGCAAATCCTCCGCCGGCTCCCAGAAGGACTGGTTGACTAATGATTGATGCTCGTTGTGCGGGGTTGGCCTACCGCCGAAGATGGATGTTTTTGAAAACATTGAAAATCAAAACAAAAACAAGAGCTGTTAAAATACCGGGTTGCCAAACAAGGCATTATAGATCAGTGCACGGTCCCTAACCTCACTTTT